TTTGAGGCGAAATACCCAAAAAGAAGTTTGTAAAAAACAATTATACAGGTTGCAGCAATCGGTCCGCAAAGCGGCCCCATTTCCATTAAACAATAAATTAACAAATTAAACTACTTATTCTAGTGACTGGATGACTATCGTGATCTTGATGAGGCCTATGACTAAGTCTATGAAGTGATTCGTTTACGCACAGTCCAGTTCAGACAACCAAAACCAACTTAGAAATATGGATCGCTGCTTTCGTGCTGATGGAGGTCTTGAGCAAGGAGCGACTCTAAAAAAATCATTTTAAAATTTAAGTAACGTAAAAACTCCTGTAAACTGCTGAAAAAATCACGGTCACTGCTTGAAAGTGTTGAGTTTTGGGGGCTTTCAGGCCTTCGCGTTTCCCTGGCGTTTTTTGCCCAAAACTTCTACAAAAAACCCTCCGAACTGGAGAGTTTTTCGCGGCTTCAATTCGTAGTGGAACAGAATTTGTTCCTCAGGTTTCCCAAACGCGAGCTGCTTCAGAAATGGGAGCCACTCAAGCTTGGAAACATCAGAAACAAACTGTCCCATAATGGGCTAAACCAGAAACAAACAAATTGAGAGAAACTGGTGAGTTTTTCGCGCTTTCAGGCCGCCGTTCTAATGAATTTTATACTAAAAACCCAAAAAACTCGATCCAATGTAAGTTCCTTCCTCCCAGTGCCCTTTTCTACTTCAGTATGTTAGTCACTATACAGTCGCTATGTTAGTTACGTCTAGTCAGTCTACTCACTCAGGGCAGTCTTTTGGCTCCTTCGGGAGTGATTTCATACGAAAAGGACTTCATAACGCTGAAATTGGGCCGTCGGTGCCTCTGCTCGTTCTGAACTCTCATCAGTCTGAGCCTTTCGGTCAGATAATCCTTGGAGCTTTGCGACTTGAAAGTCGAAGAAGGAGTATGGGGCTTATAGTAGGGAAAGTTCTCGATAAACTTCATGTAGCGCTCCCTGCTGGCCAGATCTTCCATGGACTCTTGGGAGGAGAACGCACTGGCGTCCTCTTTAGGCAAAAAGTTCGCTAGGGGATCAGCAAGTTCTTGGGAAGACGTGGTCTTTTTAAACCGGGAATTTCTACTGGGCAAAGCCCCATGAAATTGAAGAGCTGAAGGCCGTTTTGCGTTGGGCAGAAAATCGGAATTAAATGGAGGTCCCAAAGTGGGCCCACTGAGGCCAACGGATTTTTGCAACGCCTTCAGACTATCAGGGGCGTTGTCTGGGAGCTGAACTTCTGAAGAAGCCAGAGCGGCTGGGCCTTGAGCATGATCCAAAATCTCTCCCTTGGTGAGCTTAACCTTCTCCTCACTGATCGAAGATCCTTCTGAAGCTAACTGATGGTTGACCTCCTGGAAGCCCACTGGAGTACCGTAGCTGGTGACTAGAGGCGACTGAGCCTTCAACTCGCCTCCTTCAATGGCGGCAGCCCCATGAGTATATCGGGGCTCCTCGAAATGAGGAGGACCTGGAGGGTTGAGACCCACATGACTGTCCTCCGCTCGGTAGATGTGATAAGGATGAATATCCACGTCGTTAAAAGCGGTTGGCTCAGAAGGACTCAGAGAAGTGGCGGCGCTAAAGAACTTGCCAACGACTGTTCCAAAAGTGGGACCAGCAGGAGGAATGGGCTTGAAGGAGGGAACGACCGATTCATCGACGTGAGAGTAGGCAGAATGGTATTTGTCGTGCGTTGCAGGTATTTTTCGCAGAATGAGGATTCCTGCGTGGGTCCCGTGAGGTTTGTCTTGAAACATAAATGAGGGATTAATTAGATAAATGGCAAACATTTTGTCTTGTCAGCAGTTGGTATTTTTGGGAAACCCGAGCGAGTCGGGCGTCTTTAGCTCTTCCAGGGGGCGTTCATTAAAGTAATTAGCTGTGCGCGAATAAAAGGCGAAAAAAAACACGATTTTGCATAATTCAACTTTCGATTTCATTAAGGAATATCGCTGATTAGCTGCTGATGGAAATTGTCAATTAGTTTTCAACGCGAGCTCTTTGATATTGCAGTTAGTGCTCCATTTTGGGCGATCAATAAAGCGCTGATATTCAGTCATTTAGTGGGAGGCGGAAATTGAACATGTTTAGTGCCTGTTCGCTAATAATGGCAGGCTGTAACCCAGGTAGTACCTGGCACTATTTCCCTTGCACAGCCATGTTATGGAACTAGGAAATGTGCTACTGTTTGCCCATCTAGAAATTTTTGCCGATGTTGAATAAATTGTTGAAAAGTGTTTTATATATGTTTTATTTTAAAAGTGCTCAATTAATATGTTTGACAACTCGTCCAGTCAAATTGTGCCAAGCATGAAGAATAAGCACTAATAAGGGCAGGCACAAACCTTATTAGTGGCACATTCGTATTTGGAATATGCAACGAGCTAATGAAAAGATAACTGAGTCCATAATAAGAAAGATATCGTCCGCTCAAAATCCGTTCAAAAAAGGCAGAAATTTTTGATTATTTGGGAACTAGAAGCGCCCCGGTGTCTTTTCATGCAGCGCCAATGAAACCCTAACCTGAAAATACCTCGACTGCTACATCATTTTGATCGGAAAGAGACAAGGAATGCAATGAACTAATAAAAAGACACCGGGGCCTTTCCAG